CCAGTACATACAGTAGTCCAGGTCATCTTATATGTGTGTTGCCGATAATATGATTTTTTATGTCTCACTACATAAGCCACTGCACAAAAGCTAGGATATTTCAAGGGATTTCAAATCCCTTAATAAATAGGCATTGTTAAAGTATTATTTTCAAACAGTATAAATATTTCAATATTCTGTTTCCTAAAGATACACTAAATGGTTCAACACACTTTGCTGCATAACCTACCACAAGATTATTATGTAATCTCAGAAAGTCTCACACAAAAAGGAGCTGAGCTCCTTTAAACTGTTCCTCATTGTAAATATTAATAAATAATCATAGGTAGGGTCCATTCCACCTGTCATGCTATGAGATTGACATTTCATGTGTTAATGCACATTTTTTTTGTCTTATGACAATGGTAAGAAATTATAAAATTCTAATTTAACCTAACAACCAAAAAAACATTTTTAGTAGCATAGAGTCATATTTAAAATAATGCCGATTGTAAAATTGCTCTCACACTAGCTATTCCAGAGACAAGTGCCATATTTGTCTCCATCCTGGCACCAACACCCAGCTTTCTCGCTCCATTTTGTCCTCCTGTAAAAATCTGGAATTATACTTTGTCTCTAGCTACTGGGAAAAAAAGGAGCTTTAGTGCTGTAACCCTCAGTGATGTTTGTCTATACTGGACAGCTGGTGGTCCTATTTAAGAACTTAGTCTCATGCTTGAATAATTAGTTGACAATTGAAATTCAGTGGTGGAGTCCTCTAAGGATAAACCTATCCTGCATACATATACGTGCATACAGGGTGATGAAAACTCCAAGATGACTTGGAAAGGAAAGGCCTTGGATTCATTCTGGGCAGTTTCCTTAAAATGTGAATTCAAGGGTAAGAATGAAAAGATCTGGAAATCAGGTCAGTGGCAAGCTCTTGGTTCCAAAGACAAGAATTTAAGAGTCTGCTTTCAGGAAATAAGGCAGACCTCACAGCCCAGTCGCAGCACTCCCAACCACAGGCAGAGTCCAGACCCATCTGAGGTATGTGTTGTCCAGCTGGGTCAGAACACACAATCCAAGTGTGTTATCCTGCTCCTGACTCTTAGCAGCACGAAAAGTAATGTATGTCCTATTATTTAGTTGTCTAATATAAGAACTGGGAAGTTTTCAGGCTAATAATTCTTCTGAAGTATGCACTATCATTAATTGTTGCAATTCTGAATATTCTTGTTAGCTATCAGCGTTTCTCATTCACATTAACTTAAGTTTCAACGTCATCTTTACAGCAAGGAATGCAGAGTTTTAATTAATACGGTATGAAAAGACATTTCCTTCCCTTTGTTCTGAGCCCACAGTAGAATTCAGCTGTAATGAGTCAACTCTTAACCTGCATTTCCTAAAACACTAGATTTTGTCTTTATTTCTGAATATATAATTCTAGAATCAGCTTCAGACACGTGGATCTCTAATCCAATTCATCCATATTCAATTACTGTAGTCAAGAGATTAAAAGGAAATTCTTTATCCTCTCTCTGATTTTACCACTCAGAAAGAAAGACCAATGGACTTTAGAATTTTGTTCCCACTTTTCCCTTCCCACAGCCTTGCCCAGGCTAAAAACAAAGAGTGAAGTGAAAGTTTCCTGAGTTTGGTCAGTCAGCTACAGAACAGCTTATGACAAAAGAGATGGTAATTGGCTATGTAGACAAGACTGTTTATCTCATTAGAGAGCTCTTCTGGTTTAGAATATGCAAGGCTAAGAAGCAAAGCCAGTATAGCTGCAGGCAAGGATCAGAATCTTCCCTAACTCACATCCCAGCTAACAGCCATAGGTCTGCCCACCTCTGTGTGTCTGTACATACAGGATCTCCTGCAGACTTCCCACTCCCATCAGGCAAAACCATTTTTACTGCTTTCTTGGCAGCAGTCATACGTTCCTTGCTGAATTCCTGGATTAAGTGTATTTTAGTCAAGAGTGTAGGAGTAAATAAAAACATAGGGATTTTCTACCTTCTTTATGTTTATAAACACCATTTTCACATGCTAATTCTGATTCGTAAATTAAGTGATACCAAGTCTTGGTGTTTAATCACACCTAGTTGTTTATAGACACAGAGTCCTTGACCAGATAGATCTAAAGCCTCTCATGTCTGTCAATGAAAAGAAATTTCATTTCTGACTGACAGAGATTATTAGTAGTACTGGTATCATTTTAATTACAGTATTACATACATTTTATAGGCAGAGATTCTGCCTTACTCTGCCTCATCCAGAGCTGTAAATCCTTCAAGAAACTCTATGTGTGTACATATGTATAGTGTGTGTATTTACATGCAATATACACACAAACACAAGTGACCTGAATCAATAGCCCTGGAACTTCAAAAGGCCACCACAAGCAACAACCTCCTGTCAAGTGAGAAAAGAAATACACAGGTGCAGAGTAATCCATGCAACTCAAAAAGTTCCCAGTAAGAAATCCCATAGGAGGAGCAGCCCAAGAGCTGCTGCAGAAGGGAGCCCCAACCTGCTACTGTCTTCTGGACACCCCAGCAAGTGCTTCTTATTGCCTCCAACGACAGTGCAAGGTGAGAGGCACGAAGTGGTTTCTCAAGCACCACAGCAAGCAATATTACCAGCTCTGTTGCACAGACAGAAAATTAACATGCGTGGTCCCCAGCCTGCCCCAGGCGGATAAACCTGCCGCCTGTCAGCTTGCATCCTCATAGGCAGGAGATAGCAGCTGGGGCAGCCGCCAGTGCACGCTGCCTGACAGCACCCTCTCCAGAGGCCTGGTATTATTACAGAGCGCACCTCTCTCTCCAGACGCTGAATTAACTTGTTGTGACTGTGTGACAGCTCTGACGACTGCCCGCACGGATGCAAGGAGCCAGGGTCACATGCTGTTGCCTGCATGGCCTGTCACCAGCCGTGCCACTAAAACCAGACAAAACCTTGTCAAGGGAGATAAGATCCTCCAGAGGTAAGCGACTCAACTCGTGGCACAGCTTGTGAGGGTTTTGATCTAGTTCAAGGACAGTATCCTCTGACAGGGGAGCTGGGTGCAGATGGGAAGGAACACACACACGCTGGAGCACACACATGCATGCACATGTAAAGAAGAAGGCAAAGGCAGGCAGGTCCAGCTGATGGAGCACAGGCAGGAATGCTGGTGGGGGGCACAGCTTGCTGTCAGCAGTCTCATGATAAAAGGGGCAAGGGAAAAAGCTTCCAATTCTCCCTGCAAAATGACATCAAAAGAGAAGAAAAATAAAAGCATGTCCTCCCACTTTGAGGTTCTGGAGTTCTGGATGTGCCCAAAAATTAAGTTAGAGAGCAGAGAAAGTGAGTTTGCAATGAAAAATGCCCTGTTAAATTTAGCAGTTAGCCTCTGCTGAAGAAGATACCTCTGCTTATGGCATACCTGGCACAGCCTGGTAAACCTAGGTGAAAAATTGCTTAATATTAAACTTTTTTCTTCACCTTTCTTCATGAGCCTTTACCTAAACATGAAGCCCACAGGCGATTGTGCTGACAGTATTTTCAAAGAGCTGCTACAGAGTACTCCCTGCCCTGCATCTCAGTGAGCTGCACTACAAGATAAGGAAAGAGTGGTAGGGCTAAAAAACCCACTGTTTCTTATCTTATTTTTATTTGAACTACAGAAAATTTCTGTTCTACTTGCTCTTCACCCTAAAATACCAAGGAAATGTGTTCACTCCCTGTGTTATTTGCCACAAAAATACTAGAGTCTGAGAGATACATGGCTTTTTACTATTCAAATGAAAACACTCAACTTACCAAGCATGTTTGATCAGTATATATGGAAAGCAGTCACTGGAAATAATGTATATTTTGGAAGTCACATTTAGTCCAGATATAGTCTCTCTGCTTCATATTTCTGCCATCACACAAAGAAGCCTCCCTACAGTCTAAACACCTAAGTAAACAGGAGCTTCTACTGCTTTACATTATCAGCACAGCACTAAATAACTGAAATATGCTGCTTTGGCCCACTAACTTTGCTAGAAGACAGATAGAGTGTTATTCTACAAAACACTTTTCCTTCTTATGAGCTTTGCAAACAGAACCTACCCATGGGAAGGGTGTTAGCACCATCCAGAGTAAATTTTACGTCTTCATCCCATCAGTAATAAAAACAATGTTTAAATGGACATTAACGTGTTAAAAAAGCAACCTTTGATGCAATTACCCTGTAAGTATCAGGGAGATGTGTCACTTAGAATTGGATGTAAGAGAGGATTTCTACACCTTTTGTGTCAGACCAGCAGCGATCAAATGTTATCCTTTTTTTTTGTTTTACAGCTCCCATATGGAAATAGTTGCTGGTCTTATTCCCAAAAAAATATAGGAAAATGAACTCATTTGGGATACATTCTAGCATTAACAGGTTCCTCACTACAATTCCCACCTAGAAGCATTGACAGTGGGATGGCACAGGTTTATTTTGCTTTTCCCCGTACAATAGAATTTTCTGCAAACCTCCAAAATAAGAAAACTTTCAAAGCTTTATCTTCCATAAAATATAAAAATTTAATTGAGCAAGCAACAAGCCACTTTCTCCTTATTTTAAAAAAATGTATTTGGGAACAGAAGCCTTGTTTCTGTTCACTCCAAAATTAGTGGAATTTTTCTTTGCCAGTTGCTAGTTTTTCCAAAAGCTCAGCATGTAAAGAAGCAAACTAACATTAATGTCCATTTGCAAAGAAGTTTTTTACCTGTAGTAAAATATTTTCAGGGTAATACTGAAGATAGTATAGTACAGGAACTTGTAACAGCAACAAGTATGAACCAAAATCCAGACAAAAATACCCCAAAGACCTGAAGGGTTTTTTTCTGTTGGAGCTCTGTATGTGTGATCTTACAGAAAGGGAGCATTCCCCTGTTCCATAGCAAGCGGCAACCTCAGGCTAATGGCTAGCCTCAACTTAGAATGAAAGAAAAGAAAATGAGAATTAAACTACTTTTTTATGTCTATTCATTCTATTCATTCACAGGAAGCCTGTGATTTTCAGAGGAAAGTCTGATGAGCAGTGAGTCAAGAGTTCCAGAAGTAGAGGATCCTGTTAGCATGATTTTTTTTTCTCTTCTTCTTCTATGTGTTTTCTTCCATAGGCTTAATGAATTGTCATTCATATTTTTGAGTCACTTCTCATTCATCATACCTATCCAAAAGAAAAAGCATAATTTTCCATTGACCTCTTTGATTTTGACAATCTTCAGACTTCTTCTAGACTATAATATTCCTTTTGAGAGAAAAAAATAGTCAAGGTTATGTTCCTCAGTATCATGTATGAAAAATCCTTTAAAGCATGGGAACACAAGCATATCTCACTGAGAACAGTGTAACCAAAACCCACTCACTAACTTTTTCTGTCACTTTATCAATTTGAAATAATCATGGTACTCCTGATCTTTATTTAGTACAGAAGTGGTACAGAGTGCCTGGTCTGTAGGAGAGGCTTAGCACATCAGGTTTCATACAAATAGGAGAGGTTTAGTACATCATGTTTCATAAAGGGAGAGTTGTTCTCAGAGACATATAACCTTTTCATCTCTCCTAGTGATTAGTTGGGGATTGGTCCCTCCTACACCTCAAGTTCAAACTTGAAATTTTCACCCACAAAGGGAACAGTCTCCCTGCCACCAAACAGTGACTAATTATCAGGTTATCTTTATCTTCAATTGTCAACTGTCAATAAAGTAAGTCCAATAAATAATAATAATAAATAAATATGCTTAATAATATCTAATGCTGAAAATATGACAGAACTCTGATCAACAACTTTCTCCCACCTACCATGGTTTGCAGACTGAATACACCTCTTGCTTTTTTGTGTTTGCAACTTTGGAGGCTGTTGACTGAAGCAATTGAGAATTGTTGTAACAATAGTACCATGCAACACACTGTCTGTGAACTGCAGTATTAGATATGTTAGCCTCCTAACAGGACAGTGTGAGCACATGATAATGACCATTCAGTGAGATCAGTAGCAGGTCAGGTGTCTCTGAATCCCGCTGGAAAATAAGTTCATAGAGTTGAGGGCTTCCCCCTAGAACTGCAAACAAAAAGGGTAAATTAGGGTTAAAACTATGTGCTTGACACGATCAGATGGCTAGCAACACTTTGTCTAGGTCATTTAGGTCTTCCCTGGTGAGCTATCTGGGTGAATTTAAGGTGGTGTCTCCCCTTAAGAAGCCAAATAAAGGGACTAGATCTTGATATCTAATCCCCAACAGGGGTCTGATCCAATTAATGGTGCCCAAGAGCTGCTCCATGTCATTTAGACTCTTTGGGTTACTCTTTTGTTTGAGAATTTGTGGTGTTACAGTTTGTTCTGTAATTTTGTATCCCAAGTACTTCCATGGAGATAACTGTTGTATCTTTTCCCTGGCAACAATGCATCTGGTATCTTGCACTGCTGAGATGACTTCATTGGAAGTATCCTGTAGGGACAGGTGGTCCTCTGCTGCTACCAGGGTATCATCCATGTAGTGCAGGATAATGGAATGTGGACATTTCCTATGAATTGGAGAGGGGATTTTTGCCCCATACCACTGGCAGATGGCCAAACAATTTTTCATTCCTTATGGTAAAACTGTGAGTGATATCTCCTCAAAGGGGCTTGCCTGTTTATTGATGGAACGGAGAACGGAAATCATGGCACGTCATAAGGGTGTAAATGAATGCTAAAAAAGCAATCTTTTAAGTCAATAATAATTAACTCCCAGTCTTTTAGTATCATAATAGGTGAGGCTACACCATGCTGCAAGGACCCCATTTCTTCAATAACATCAACTCCCCTAAAATCTAGTAGGAGACACCATTTGTTACAACATGGTTTTTTTAATAACAAACTCTGGGGTATTCCATGGGCTATTAGTCGGCACAAGATGACCTGTGTCCTCCTGCTCCTTTACCAGCTGTTCTAGTGTGACTAACTTTTCCAATGTAAAGGGCCACTGATGCACCCATATTGCTTTATCTGATGTCCAAGTCAATTTTAGGGTGCCATGCTCATCAGTATCCCGCACTAAAAATTTGTTTCCAGTTTTCGTCCCCATTGTGATAGAATGTCTCTCCCACACAGGTCTACTTTGGCTTTTACCATGAACGGCTTAGTAGTGGCAACGCGACCTTTAAGCCCCTCAAAGTTAATAGGGTGGAGACTGCAAAAGCTGTCACAGTGGTCACCGATACCTCATAACGTGTCCAGAGATGGTACAAGGACCCAGCCCTGTGGCCAGTGTGATGTAGAGATCAGGGTTACATCGGCTCCAGTATCAGTTCAATGAGGGTTACGGTCTTACCAAGATGTTTCAAGGTGCACACGAGTTCTGGTCTCCCATCGCCGATCATTTTTGTCCAAGCAATGAAAAAGGTGTCACAATCCAGCTTGGGCAAGAGAAATGCCTGCACAATGATTAGTCCTTCAGGGATGAAATATGGGGGGGTCAGGACACATAGCAAGTATAGTGATCTCTCGGGATGGTGTTACTGATAATACTGCAGGTGAAACATAAAGTCCCTCAGCACCAGCTCTACTCATCCGCACTATTAAAAACTCGTGTGGCCTAACTGTCCTGTTAATATGGCATGCTGAACTGAGTCCGTTATCACGACTGGCTGGGTGGTTGGCAGTTCCAGACGGTGCCTGGAGGCATTGCAGTGGGGAGGTCAGAGATGAGGTACTGCAGCTGTGAGCCTGCAGGCAGTTGATAGTCTCCAGCACAGGTGACAGGGATGTTTGTGTCCTCACGTGCCGCTGCCTTGCGCTCAGCTGGGAGTTTCCCAACAGGAAACCAACAGGTGACAGCCACACTCCTGCACTAGACGGAAACTCTTAGTCTTTTGGCAATGCCCTCAGTACCCACAATGTTTCAAAGGTAATCCCTATCTTGGCTTTTGGCAGCTTTTTGCAAAGTGTCCTTCCTAGCCACAATTGTGGCAAGTTCCTGGTTTCCTGCCCTGTTGGCTTTTAATGGTATCCTTAAAAGCTGCTAAAGTCTTCCTTGTCAGAATCTGTGTTTGTACTGCGGCAACCTGCTCCTGCTATTTCCTGAGCTGTTGTTATAGCTTCAGTGAGGACCTGTGCCTGCACAGCACCATGCTCAGGAGCGGCTAGACGACTGCACATTTCAATCATTTGAGCAATGGTAGTGATTTACCAAAATATGGATATGATCTAGTATTACCAGTATCCAACTATAACAGACAAAAACTCTTTAACTGATTCGGGTTAAAAAGTGTGTGTTTATTGGCACCGTTGGCTCGATGTGCAGGGTCGCCCCTTAATTCACATGGCCCCGAGTACAGGTGAATGCAGGCTTTTTATTTACAAAAGTATTGAATACAAATACAAATTCATAACCCAGTTACCACCCACTCTCTGCTTCTCATGCTAATTAGAAAAAAGCAATTAAGCATGTGTAGTTTGTCCTTCAAAGTGGGTCAGTGGTCTTTTTATGAGTAGGGGTCATGGGAGGGAGGAAGGGATATGGCTCTTCCTCATTCTGACCTTTCTACCTTTTCAATACAAAGTGGCAAATGACCACCTGGCCGTGATCCTAGTTTCATGTTTCCAATTGGTTTCTGGTTTGTATTGTCTTGTGTTCTTGATGTTCCTCACAAGATTCCCCGTTTCTCGTTACAAACCTAGCTGAACAAACATAAGGTTGACAGACAATTAGTTACTGGCTAATGATTAGCTCCTAATTCTAGCAGTGCCTCTCTACAAGGATTCATTTTTTATTTGATTTAACAAAAATTAATTTTAATTAAGGCCTTGAATTTTCTAATATCTTAAATTCTTCAAAATTTATGCTTCAGTAGGCTCGGGGTCTAATGAAAGTGCATGCAATGCTTTCTTGCATTCTGGATTTACATTAGAAATCACTAGCCGTTTTAATAATTCCTCTGCTGCCCAGTCCAGAATAACTTGTTTGTCTAGGGCAAGCTTTAGCCAGTCTAAAAATTTTGTATATAGCTCATCAGGGACTTGTCTTACGTCAGCAAAGTCAGGTTTGGTCTACTCCTGTCAGGGGCTTGTAATAACAGTTTCCTGGCCGCATCCTTGATGTCATTAAGGACAGGCCTAGGAAGGTTTTTCCGCTTGTTGATCTGGGTCTTTGTGAGCCCCCTCTCCCGCCAGTTGGTCCGAGGTTAGCTCTGCCCTTGCTGGATCCCCCACATAATCCCTTAATAACTGATTTAACAAACGCTTCCAAGCTGGTTCCCATAGGGAATATTCCATAGGGGACAATGAGGTGGTCATCAAGTAGCACATATTGTTGCCACATGTGCAGCAAGGGTGGCCTGCACCAAATTGCCAAGTATGGCAAGTCTCTCCCATACTCCTGCGTGGCTTTGCATAGTTCTTTGACCTCTCCAAAAGCTAAAGGCTCCTACTGGGGATTAGCAACCCCCTCGTGTACCAGACAGGCATCACGCTAAGCTTGGAGACTAATTCCCATTCCTCCTCTTTCACAGCCTCCCTCCTTATCTTTTCCCATGGATCTTGGCTGGGACTTGGTGACCAAAGGTCTTCGTCTGATGATGAAGAGGAAGAGAAATAAAAGGAGGACTCACTCGGCACTGCAAATATTTCCTTGTGGCCTCTTAGCTTTAGGGTAGGCCTTAGAACAGACCTCAGTGCTGGTGACCTAGGCACCATCATCTTGGAGGCAGGCCCTTCTGGAACACAGCTGGGAGAGGTTCCAGCCTCCTCAGAAGAGGTGTGGCCTGCTAGCCTGATGATGTCAGGGGAGGAGTGGCCCAAAGTGGATGCGGCATGCCGCAGGGTAGATAGGGCAGAGTTGGAGACAGGATCTCCCAACACACAGAGAAGTCAACAAGAGGGCTGGGAGTTAGTAGACTTTTTTAAATGGCCATCATCCTTAAAATGGTGGTCGTTACTCAGCCAGCAGCTAGAACTCATGGACTGCTTGGTGTTAATTATAGAGGAAGGATGAGGGGAATGCGAAGGTCTGGATAGGAAAGAGCAGGAGGGATGCATGATGGCTTGGCCTTTGCCATCTTGGGCCGCAAGTGAGGAGGTGGAGATGGACACAGGGTGACAGATCCATCAGCCAAACCATTATTTTCTCTGAACCCACCACGGGTACATGTGTTTGCAGCTCCAACACCATACCTACCTCAGGGGTAATTAAAGGAATGAGGGGGACGGAAAGAAGGGTTGTCAGTCCTCAGCACTTCCAGATTAGCTGGTTTTTTCTCCCTCTGCTTTTCTTCCAATTTTAACATTTCCATGATAAAGCGAAAGATGGGGAGCGGCTCTTGCACAGTTCGGTGTCTTTTGGTTGCCAAATTATACAGTTTCTTGACTACTAAGCCCCAAAATAATAAAGTAATGGCATTGGGCACAGTAGTGTCTGGAAAATTTTTGAAGGCCCATTTAATGATGCTTTTTAACTCATGCTTTTCTAATTTCTTCCCCTGGGACACCAATTTCAACTTAAACTGGCAATAAACACCCTTCTGTCAATAGTTTCTTGCCCATCATGAGGCTTAGTTAGGGCATCACATGTAGGGATGATGGATGGACTATCCCCTCTCCTCTTACCTGCATTACCTGCAGGTCTTCTCAGGATGATTAACCACTCCACCAAGAGTCATCCAAGGAATGTTGTCAAGCCCTTACTTTTCCTCCAACTTCACACTCCAGAGAGGGTTTGCTTACCAGTCCGCTTCCCCTGCTGACACGATCCCAACAGGTCCCTCAGTCCGAGGGTCCCTGTTTGGCTGCCACTTGTTGTGGCAGAGGATCTGCAATCTCAAGACTGGGCCAGCCAGGGACAATAAGAGAAGGACAGGCATGATTTAGTGACCCAAGAAGTAATAGTTTAATAGCAAAAACAACAAACATGTAACCTGAACAGCCGTAGAGAGTGCACCAAATAGGCGATGGTCAGGGTGCTACAGCAACTTATGTAAACTAAGTAGGGGCAGAGTCTGAGTGTAAGAGTCCAACAGGTAAGGTTGACTAGGAATAATGAAAATAATGCAGCAATCATAAACCAGTAACAATAGAAGAAAAACAAACTTTCTGGTAACATTTACATAAAAGCAGTTGGGGGCAATGTGGGTAATACCTTCCACAATTACAAGGGTTTTTCCCACAGCCTTCTGTCGGGGTTTTTATCAGCCTCAACAAAAGGCTGTGCCACTTCTGGACACCAGTGGCAGGAGTAATACTACCCAGGTTCTCTACTTATATCTGGGGGCTAGTGCAGCTCTCCTAGAATATAACTGCTCCTTGCAGCTTGAGGAATGAAAAATCCCAATTCCATTTTCATTTCCATTTCTCATTGCTTCTCATTGCTTCTGCAGTGAGAGATGGAGTTCATTTTCTTCAGAGCAGCCCAGAAAGGGCTGCTTTTCTCATTTGTGATGAAAACAATCCTGATAACAGAATCCGGAGAGCTTCAGCTACTGGCGAGCGGTGCCTGCGCGGTGCCGAGGCTTTCCTTGTTTCTCATGCTCCCTGTGCCTCCCAATGAGCAGGATCTGGGTGGGCAAGTGCCTGGGGGGCGACACAGATGGCACAGCTGACCCAAATGGACAAGGAGATGCCCCATGGTGCTCAGCAAGTTCCAGGAAGAAGGCAGGAGGAACAACTGGGCTCACGGCATGAGTTCCCAAGCCAGTGTTGAGTGTGCTGAGGCTCTGCTTCCTGGGGAGTGACCGGACATCCACTTGCCCAGGGGAATCCCTTGTTCTGCTTTGCCTGCATGTGCAGCTTTTGCTTCACAGGTTAAACTGTCTGTGCCTTCATTCATGAGTCTTCTCCCTTTCCCTGTATTTCATTCCCACCTGGCAGAGGCGGGGAGTGAGGGAGTGGCTGGAGTGCTGTTTGGCTGACAGCTGCAGCCAGCCCACCACATATGTACATATGTACTCTTTCTTTCCAGGAGAAGTTCCTAATAACTATATTTCTATATTTTTTCACTTAGAAGAAAACAAAGATAATCATTATGGTTCCAATATACTATTTTGCATCTCTTTTATGTTTATATAGTGAAACTCTGAACATGTATCTGCTGCTCACAGTCAAAAACATTCCTCACAAACTGCTTAACTGGACACCTTTTTCTTAATACTTATTTTTTAATTCAAATATCTT